TTTTTTTCAAGAAAAAAATAGCAGGAATTTAGAAAGACTAAAAAGAAAAGAAGAAAGAACGGACGAAGAATCGAAGATAGTATCCAAGAAAAAAGAAAAGAACAAAAGAAACAAAGAAGAAAAGAAGAAGAAAAGAAGAAGAGAGAAGAAAGATGAAAAATGAAAATTCAAAGAGAAATTCAGGAATTATAATTGAAGGAAAAAATATTTTTGGAAAAAGAAAGGTTTTTAAGAAATGTGATTAACAAATAGGAAAAAAAATAAATGATATATTTGTATTGGTGGGGTTGTGTTACATTCATTTATAGCATAACAAAAGTTAACAGCAATAAAAGAAAGATAAACGTTGTTATTATTTGTTTTTTATCAATTAACATTCAAGGAATGTGTTAACAATTTATTATTTTGTGAATGAATTGAATAGGAAATCGAAATGAAGATTGAATTTGAGTGTGATGATTATGGTAAACAATAATGGCAACAAGAGTAAGCATGTTGTCGTAATTTAAACATTGTGTACTTATATACACACAACTTCAATTTATTGCACAGAAAAAATCAATTATTAATAATACTTAGCACAACATGAATAATAAATATGAATTTAAAAAAGATACTAAAAAAAATTATTTGTGTTTTATTATTGTTGTTGTTTTCTAGTTTCTTGTGGCTGTTTTTTGGCTTTTAGAATTCATTCTTGGAAAAAAACATTGTTGCATTTTTTTTATTTGCCAAATCGGTATAATAGCAACAACAATAATAATAATTTCCCGAAGTTATGATTAATCTATTGATTGACATGACTTTTATAGTCGAACTTTCTTAGAAATTTATCCGAGACCCGAGAAATTATCTAAAATTCAACTCACTATTAAGGTTCATTATATGAGGTAAAAATATTATATAAATTAGGGAGTAGTATTCGTTTTTATTATGGTTCGTGTAACTTGGTTGTTAGGGTGTACCTGTGTTGCGAAGTTTTTTTATGTGGAATGAAAATTGAACATATTAATATATAATTTACTAAAAGGATAGGATTAGTCTCATCTGCAAGACTTAAAGGTAGGGCATCGGATACCAAGGATGGTGAATATATCTCGTTTACATATGGGATTACATTTGCATGAGGATACCTTCTGGGGTTTGATTCCAATATAAACAATTTAAGTTTAGTGGAAGTAAGACATGATAATTTCCTATTAATATCTAAATTGTGGGTAACGAATTATATAAAAGTTCCAATTTAAATGGTGTAATAGCGTATGACGGAGTTAATTTGCATTTGACGATCGTCAAAGATAATTATGATAAATGCTAAATGCCACAATATTACCATGTGATCGTGATTAAAGTCATTAATATTAATTAAATATTTCGGAATTCCGAATTGTTCCGAAATGTTGAAAATTGAAAAGGTCGAAAAATTTATTGATAATAATAATATGTAATTTCGATATTTCTGGAATTCCATGGTTTCAGTTGACATCTTTTAATCGTGATCACTTCAAATTTCATAAATATCCAATTTCGATTTTTCTTTCAAATAGTGTGCCTGCTTTTTGGATAAATATTTTCTTGTTGACCAATTTGCGTTTATAAACAGGTGTAAAATGCAAAGGGTGCGTGACCCAAAATTCAGGAGATATTTTCTAAATTTGTACTAGTTATGCGAAATTTACATACTGGGGTACTACCAGCTTTTGTCTATGATAATTTCATCACAATTTAGACATCTTTCACAAATAAGCTGCACATTTATGACACTGAAATAGTAACTTATAAAATTTGGAGATGATTTATGGAAGGGCCAGAAAATATATGTTTAGATTTGGCAATGGACATCCTGGACAACATGTTGAACATGTTCAATACATATCCAGACAATCTACTCTTGTCCTTCTATAAAGTTTTAATCATGCCAAAATTGCCATCACATTTGAATTTAGTATGTCCAGGAATCATGAAATTCAATTCAATACTTTCATAATAGCCACAAATTACTGAATATAAATAAATCAAATAGTAGTATTATTTTTATTCTGTCCCCAGCATTATCACAAGTTATCTTTAAATGCTTTTCATTTCCTAATTCCATCAAAAATCATACTAAGAGTGCCATTGGGTCCTTTTCCTATAATTTCATCTTCATTAAGAACATAATTA